TGTTGTCATGCTTCAGAGCTTGGCCCGTTAATTAACATACAGGAATAAAACAAGTCTCACGAGTGTGTGTGTGTGTGTGTAAATAGGTACCTGGATGCCACTCACTGAGGTGAGTGGCATCCTGGGGGCTTTGTAGTGAGCTGAGGTTGGATAACAGCTCTTGGATTCTAAATTCAACGTTGTAAAAGAATGAAAAGGTCCCGGATTTGATTGCCAGACCGGGGCTACATGTGTGCAAGTGTTCTTACACACCTGCTGCCTCTGTTTACCATACACACACCTGCTGTCTGTTTACCATACACACACCTGCTGTCTGTTTACCATACACACACCTGCTGCCTCTGTTTACCATACACACACCTGCTGCCTCTGTTTACCATACACACACCTGCTGCCTCTGTTTACCATACACACACCTGCTGCCTCTGTTTACCATACACACACTGCTGCCTCTGTTTACCATACACACACCTGCTGCCTATGTTCATACACACACCTTGCCTCTGTTTACCATACACACACCTGCTGCCTCTGTTTACCATACACACACCTGCTGCCTCTGTTTACCATACACACACCTGCTGCCTATGTTCATACACACACCTGCTGCCTCTGTTTACCATACACACACCTGCTGCCTATGTTCATGCACACACCTGCTGCCTCTGTTTACCATACACACACCTGCTGCCTCTGTTTACCATACACACACCTGCTGCCTCTGTTTACCATACATACACCTGCTGCCTCTGTTTACCATACACACACCTGCTGCCTATGTTCATACACACACCTGCTGCCTGTTTACCATACACACACCTGCTGCCTCTGTTTACCATACACACACCTGCTGCCTCTGTTTACCATACACACACCTGCTGCCTCTGTTTACCATACACACACCTGCTGCCTCTGTTCACCATACACACACCTGCTGCCTCTGTTTACCATACACACACCTGCTGCCACGTTTACCATACACCTGCTGCCTCTACCATACACACACCTGCTGCCTCTGTTCATCATACACACACCTGCTGCCTCTGTTTACTATACACACACCTGCTGCGTCTGTTTACCATACACCTGTTGCGTCTGTTTACCATACACCTGCTGCCTCTGTTTACCATACACACACCTGCTGCCTCTTTACCATACACACACCTGCTGCCTCTGTTCACCAGACACACACCTGCTGCCTCTGTTCATCATACACACACCTGCTGCCTCTGTTCACCAGACACACACCTGCTGCCTCTGTTCATCATACACACACCTGCTGCCTCTGTTTACCATACACACACCTGCTGCCACGTTTACCATACACACACCTGCTGCCTCTACCATACACACACCTGCTGCCTCTACCATACACACACCTGCTGCCTCTGTTTACTATACACACACCTGCTGCGTCTGTTTACCATACACCTGCTGCCTCTGTTTACCATACACACACCTGCTGCCTCTTCATCATACACACACCTGCTGCATCTTCATCATACACACACCTGCTGCCTGTTTACCATACACACACCTGCTGCCTCTGTTCACCAGACACACACCTGCTGCCTCTGTTCATCATACACACACCTGCTGCCTCTGTTCATCATACACCTGCTGCCTCTATTCATCATGCACACACCTGCTGCCTCTATTCATACACACACCTGCTGCCTCTGTTTACCATACACCTGCTGCCTGTTTACCATACACACACCTGCTGCCTCTACCATACACACACCTGCTGCCTCTGTTTACCATACACACACCTGCTGCCTCTATTCATCATGCACACACCTGCTGCCTCTATTCATACACACACCTGCTGCCTCTGTTTACCATACACCTGCTGCCTGTTTACCATACACACACCTGCTGCCTCTGTTTACCATACACACACCTGCTGCCTCTGTTTACTATACACACACCTGCTGCCTCTGTTCACCATACACCTGCTGCCTCTTTACCATACACACACCTGCTGCCTCTGTTTACCATACACACACCTGCTGCCTCTGTTTACCATACACACACCTGCTGCCTCTGTTCATCATACACACACCTGCTGCCTCTGTTCATCATACACACACCTGCTGCCTGTTTACCATACACCTGCTGCCTCTACCATACACACACCTGCTGCCTCTGTTTACCATACACACACCTGCTGCCTCTGTTCATCATACACACACCTGCTGCCTGTTTACCATACACCTGCTGCCTCTGTTTACCATACACCTGCTGCCTCTGTTTACCATACACACACCTGCCTCTGTTTACCATACACACACATGCTGCCTCTGTTTACCATACACCTGCTGCCTCTGTTTACCATACACACACCTGCTGCCTCTGTTTACCATACACAAACCTGCTGCCTGTTTACCATACACACACCTGCTGCCTCTGTTTACCATACACACACCTGCTGCCTCTGTTTACCATACACACACCTGCCTCTGTTCACCATACACACATGCTGCCTGTTTACCATACACCTGCTGCTTCTGTTTACCATACACACACCTGCTGCCTCTGTTCACCATACACCTGCTGCCTCTGTTTACCATACACGCACCTGCCTCAGATCACTTAATTCCACTAAGTTGGGTTCCAATCTACTGTAAAGCAGATCAAATGGCAGGGAAATGGCAAGAGAAATGGCAGGAGAAATGGCAGTAGAAATTGTGTTTCGACTGTCAGAAACCACTTCCCCTTTCCCTACCACTCCACCACAGTCCATCACCACCCATTCCCCAGATCGTCAGTTGGTATCCCCCCCCCACCACAACATTCACTTCAAAGTGACTGAGGGGTATACCTGGGGACTGTTCTGGGGGTCAACGCCCCCGCTGCCCGGTCCATGATCAGGCCTCGTCGTGGATCAGGGCCTGGTCCACCGGGCTGTTACTGCTGCCAGCACGCAAACCGACGTATGAACCACAGCCCGGCTGGTCAGGTACTGACCTTAGGAGCCTGTCCAGCTCTCTCTCCACTATAAATCTGTTCACTAATGAACGAATATTGTGTTAACTGCTACTGTTATAGATGATAGGGGCCCTCGTGTTTCGGCAGACTGATTATACATGCTGGTAGTGCAATTATACATGCTGGTAGTGCAATTATACATGCTGGTAGTGCAATTATACATGCTGGTAGTGCAATCATACATGCTGGTAGTGCAATTATACATGCTGGTAGTGCAATTATACATGCTGGTAGTGCAATTATACATGCTGGTTTAGTGCAATTATACATGCTGGTAGTGCAATCATACATGCTGGTAGTGCAATCATACATGCTGGTAGTGCAATTATACATGCTGGTAGTGCAATTATACATGCTGGTAGTGCAATTATACATGCTGGTAGTGCAATTATACATGCTGGTAGTGCAATTATACATGCTGGTAGTGCAATCATACATGCTGGAAATGCAATTATACAGGCTGGAAATGCAATTATACAGGCTGGAAATGCAATTATACAGGCTGGAAATGCAATTATACATGCTGGAAATGCAATTATACAGGCTAGGACTCTGTTATATTCCCTGATTCTAATTACACATATTGGAACTAATTATCTGTGCTAGAACTATAATTAAACTGCGGGGGCATTGCCCCCCGGACCACCCTCCACATAGACTCCAGGCAGGTAGAATTGGCCCGCCCAAAATACTTTGCATAACAGTACAAAACAATGCAAGACATTGTTTTTCTGACTCTGTAACCTTCCTGTCGCCAAACACTAGATATACAGTATACACCGACAGGTGTATTCTCTCAGTGTGTGCGTATTAGAGATGGATGTGAAAATTTAGATATCCATGGATGCGGATGTGTATGAGGATGTCTTATTCTGTGGTTGTAAGAAATTGTGCGGATGTTCCTCTGATTTAGATGCGGATCCATATGCGGATATCTGTTTACAGCAAAATGTGGATGCAGATGCGGATGTAATTGTGCGGATGTTCCACGGATGCGGATATCCGATACATCACTAGTGTGTATGCATGATATGCAATAAGATCATAGTAAACAGGTGATATCACAATATGCAAAACAGTCAGTGAGAAAGTGATATTCCAAGTACTTACGTTCTCACATTATCAAGGACAGGTCCTTGATAATGTGAGAAGTCACGAAAGCGCTTGGAATTTCACTATTTTTTCACAGTGGTTTTGCATATATATTAAGAGCTGATTTAATCCTCATTTTAGGGACTGAAGTGTTAATATGTCTGGTGGAGACAGGGATAGAAGCAGTCTTTAATAACCCTCGTGTAGTAGATAGGCTTTAAACCCCATTAACTAAGATTACATCTACAAAGACTTCAATGGAAATAAGTCACTTTGACTAACTTTTTTTAGGGGGAGGGGGGTTGAACGATAGTTGTAGGTCTTTCGTGTTGCAATCAACACATCATCAGGAGCTTGCAGTGTTGCAGAAATAGTGCACAAAATTCAGAAAGGTTATTTGGAGAACCATTCACATGAACAGACCTTCCTGGGTTTACTCTTTCTGCAACATTGCAAGGTCCTGATGTGTTGATTGCAACACGAAAGGCCTAAAGCCATTATTCAACTCCCCCCGTGTTTTTTTTTTTTTGTATCTTGTGTCGTTTGTTCACGATTACTGCACGTTACTATGCATGATAATTTGTGTAACTGAGTCCTAGTCCACTCGGCTCACATACAGAGGTCTGGGGATCGATCCCCAGTATGGGTGGAAACATTAGGACGTGTTCACTTAAGACACCTGCTATCCATGTTCACCTAGCAGTAAAATAGGTACCTGGGTGTTAGTGGACTGGTATGGGTCGCATCCTGGGACAAAATTGACCTAATTTGCCTGAAATGCTCTGCATAACAAGGGACTTTCTATATAATAGTATGTCACTGATATCAGCTATGGTCTGTATAAGTTGTAGAAATAAAGATTTAATTGTAATTATTATTATAATTATTATTATCATCATCCCTATCTTCTCCAACAGTGTGGAAGAGGAGGTGGAGATGCGGGTGTCGGAGGATGAAGGAGTGGTGGAGGCTGAGGATGCTACCATCCCTGCCCCACACTTACGCCCACCTATGTTCAACCCTGAGGACTACGCCCACGCCCTCGCTAAGTACGCCCGCATGGCCCACCTCTATATCCCCGAGCTGCCCAAGGAGAAGAAGGTGAGTTGATATACCACTGTTCATTTCAACCAATAAAGAGGACCTCCATGCAAATAAAGAGGACCTCCATGCAAATAAAGAGGACCTCCATGCAAATAAAGAGGACCTCCATGCATATAAAGGGGACCTCCATGCATATAAAGGGGACCTCCATGCAAATAAAGGGGACATCCATGTAAATAAAGGGGACATCCATGCAAATAAAGGGGACCTCCATGCAAAGGGGCCTTCCATGCAAATAAAGGTCCTCCATGCATATGAAAGGCCCTCCATCAATATAAAGGGCCCCTCCATGTATATAAAGGGCCCCCTCCATGCAAATGAAGGGGTCCTCCATGTAAATAAAGGGGCCCTCCATGTAAATAAAGGGGCCCTCCATGTAAATAAAGGGGTCCTCCATGTAAATAAAGGGAAATAAGTCATTGGAAATAAATAAATCTAGGACCCCAATGGAAATAAGTCACTTCGTCTGACCTTTTTGGCTTAGGTAATTTACACTGTGTATGATTGTACTTATGTATACCCATGCCTACATCAGCTTAGTAACACGTGTGTAATTCTTCAATGATTTGTGGTTCCAGGGCCGCGGTCGTGAGAGAGAGAAGAACATAGCGAGGGAAGCGCCGCCAGAGATGTCCCTCAGACAGTTCAGTTCCTTGCCGGAGTTACTCAAGAGGCTGAGAGAGGACCTCAAGATGTCCTACCTCAGGTGGGAACCTCCGGACCTCCCAGCTGGACCACAGGACCAGCTTCTATATACACAAACTGGAGACCAAACTTTTTCAGGTCTATCACAAGACAGAATATATACACTGAGAGGTGTATATCTTCTTCTCTCATCTTACTATCTTCGTCTTATCTCTCTCTTCCTCCTTCTCATATTTCTTCTTACCATTTTATTTTTCTTATGTAATAATAATATTATATATATAATATATATTTGATATAATTAAAATATTGATAATATTCACAAATATTATAACACATAATATATTACTTATATTATTATATTAACATATTATATAAATTAACATATATATACACTATATATACACATATATATTACAATATATATACAGCAATATTCACATAATATAATTTATATATATTATATATTTAATATATATACACACAATATATTTAGTATAAAATAATTTAATATATTAATATTTATATATTATATATAATATATATATATATATATATATATATATATATATTATTATATATATATATATATGTCGTGCCGAATAGGCAGAACTTGCGATCTTGGCTTAAATAGCAACGCTCATCTTGCCATATAGGACAAGTGAAAATTTGTGTATGCAATAATTTCACCAAAATCATTCTGAACCTAACGAAAAAAATATATTTCACTGTGTTTGTTTAGTATTAAATTACTGTAAACAAATTAAAATATATTTAGTTAGGTTAGGCTAAAATAAATTGTTCTTGTTATAATAAGGTTAGGTAAGTTTTCTAAGATTCTTTTAGTGCAAAATTATAAATTTTTACATCAACATTAATGAAAAAAAATATCTTAAACTAAAAAGAAAATTTTTGAAAAGGGCTTAATTTTAAATGAGTTCTTGCTAAATTTCCCCTTTTTTCTATTTTGGGACGACATTATATATCATATATATATAATATAAAAAATTTAAAAAATTTTTTATAATATAATATATATATTATAATATTTAAAAATGTAATATATTTATATATAATAATATATAAATTTTGTTATTGTATATTGTACCCTTTTACCAGGAGCAAAAGCCTTGATCCCGCCAATAGCACTCTCCTCGGTGCTCCTCTTGGGCCAAGCCATCGATCTGGGCCTAGAAAAAAGTCTCAACCCCCGACGATGGGAAAACAGGATGAAAGACATTGACACCACGATGCCTTTCTACCTACTCCCAGGTCCTGTCAACCCAAAACTTTCCTATTTTTTGAGAGCCCCCAGCCTTCGCATCCAAAACTCAAGGAATTGACTCTCTCCCCGAAAGGGCCCTGCAGAGAGGTGTTGAATTTTCCCTTGACGATGGACATGGTTGCAAGCCTACTTCCGGTCAGGCTTGGAGGGGTAGAGTACCAATCCTCCCAGATTGCTCTACCACTTTTCCCCATCCTCTTCCATTGCATCAAAAAAGTTGATAAGACAAATTCTTCCTGACACCCTCAGTGACTCAGCAGGAATAGAAGACCCTAGCTATGTCAGTGCCATCACCGAAGGGGAGACTCTTGCTGCTCCAGCACCAAACCCTAGTGCAGCACTGGCTCACAAACATCAAGCTGGGATAGCCCAATTGCTGAAAAGGTGCTTGCCAACATGCTCAGGGCTGCAACATCAGATAGGGAGATTGCCCGTCTCCAGGCTGTGAGTGCACCTCACTCCGGGGACTTCCTCCAAACAGTTCCCATATCGGCAATGGGAACGCGACTCGACCCTAAGACCCTCCGTATGCAGTGGCTCTGCGCCTTGCTGCCCCAATTCACACAGAATATATGTGTATTTGCGGCGAAGTGCAAGCAGACCAATACGGACTACATGGTCTTAAAATGTTCCAAAACCAAGGGCTGGGATGCAAGACACAATGAGGTCAACGACATCATTAAGAGAACCCTTGCTACAGCTGGATGCCCTGCCGAGAGGGAGCCACGATCACTTGCAGCAAACAATACCCACAACCCAGCAAACCGCCCCGACGGGATCACCATCTATCCTTGGAAGAATGGCAAGCTCTTAGCATGGGACTATACCTGTGTGTCCACACTGGCTGACACCTATATCCATCACAGTGTGGGGCGACAGGGAGGAGCTGCTGACCACAGGGAGGAGTACAAGATCAGCAAGTACAGGGACATTAGCCAACAGTATCAATTTGTCCCAGTGGGATCGGAGACCTTGGATCATGGGGAAAAAATGCCACACGTTTCCTTAAAGAATTGGGTTCCAGACTCATCGACACCACCAGGGACCCAAGGGCAGCCACTTTCATGTTCCAGCGCCTCAGCGTCGCCATCCAGAGGGGAAATGCTTGCTGCATACTTGGCTCACGTCCAGCCTCGGAGGAGCTGGAGGAAATTCATCATCTTTGATACATTGTGCCATTGTATTCATGTTTATGTTTTTTTCTGTAAATGTATTTTGTTTATTAATAAATGTTCACATAGAATTAGAAACATATAGGGGGTGGTAGGAGAAGAAAATATTCAAACAGCTCCGGGGAGAACCTTGAGTTTTCTCTGAGGTACGTTTATTGTCTTCTCTGAGGATGAGGGTCCCCATTCCAGCTATAGAGGTGGTACTTAAATAAAAAAAAAAAAAAAAAAATATATATATATATATATATATATATATATATATATATATATATATATATATATATATTAATATATATATATATATATATTATATATATATATATATATTATATATATATAATTTATATATATATATATATATATATTATATATATAATATATATATATATATATATATTATAATATAATATATATATATTTATATATATATTATATATATATATATTATATATATAATATATATATATATATATATTATATATATATATATATATATATATATATATATATAATATATATATATATATTATATAATATATATATATATAATATATATATATATATATAATATATATATATATATATATAAAATATAATATATATATATATATATATATAAAATATATATATATATGTGATTCACACATACATGCATATACATGTACATCCATATACACATGCATACTGAGGGTTGTAACAATTACAGTATTCTTGTGTAGTAGCGAAAAGGTAAATCACATTATTTAAAAAAAAATGTCGTAAATATTTTATTAAATAATATTTGAAATAATTATAATACTATAAATATAAGCTATTATTGAAATCACAGTAATACCAGCCAAAAAAAAAAAAAAAAAAATAAGCTTACAAATGAATTCCCCGGGTTCAGTCCTGGACGAGTTGAGACACGTAGTCTTACAGTTGCTGCCACTCTTTACTTAAGAGTAGATATGTACCTGAGAGTTACAACTAATTGTTCTGGGTGGCATCCTGGTGAGGGGGAGATTAGTATAACTTAGATAAGGCTAGGCTTTGAAAGAGCTGAGGTAGAATAACAGTTCTTAGCTTGTAAATGAACCAAGTGAGGATAACAGTCCTTTAGCCTGTAGGTTAAATGGTGTAAATACCTTTTGACAAACATTATCACTGATCACTATCACTGGCTACTAGTACCACTAACAACTATAATTATCCACAGCTTCGTGAAGGAATTCGTGAGGGATCCTCACGATGGAGTGACCTTGCTTCTGGACGTGCTCAAGATGGTCCAGCTGGCCCAGACTGACCTTAATGGTGAGCCCTGGTGACTTAACCTAATGTCAATCAATCTAATGTAACCTAACCTAATATAAGCTAATCTAACGTAACCTAATGTAGCGTAACCTAATCTAGTGTAATCTAATCTAGCATAAACTGTAACCTAATCTAACGTTAGCTAATATAGGGTAACCTAATCTTGTGTAATCTAATCTAATGCAACCTAATTGAACATAACCTAATCTAGGGTAACCTAATCTAACGTAACCTAATCTAACGTAACCTACTCTAACCTTCTGGATGTGCTTAGGATGGTGCAGCTGGCCCATATCAACCTTAATGGTCAGTTGTCATATTATATTTACATTCCAGGAGAGGGAGTTGGGTTTGATTCAAGGAAGGGAGGGTCAGGTCCAGTTCCTTGGATCAAGAGCCCTACATTAGCATCAAGGTACCTCTTTTGTTAAGAACCTTTCTAATGCTCTGCATAACGAGGGGCTTTCAGTTAAAAGTGTATAATACATCACCTATTGTATTCAGTTTTTTGGGAAATACAGTAGACATTTCATTTTCAATATTTTTATTTTCTTGATGAATAAGACATGTCCAGCACTTGGGTACCTTTATTGCAAAAATATTTTGCCTGCACTACAGGGTTCTCCAATCATACACCACTGTAGAGAGTACAAGTAGTTGTGAGGTGGACAGTCCCTTAGGGTTGAGGGAGTGACCAACACCTGTCAGGGCTGAGGGACTGATCACCTCAAAATTACTGCTGCTGGCTTCAGTGTTATATTCACCTGTATTCAGTTTTTCAAACTTGAGGACTGATCACCTCAAAATTACTTCTGTCTCTAGTGTTATATTTGCCAGTATTTGACTGAAGAAGCCTTTTGTCTAGACAAAACATTCCGCCAGTAAAGATACCCAAGTGTTGCACATGTGTCATTCATCAAACTGTTATTTTTGGAAATAATTACAAATACTCATCGCCAATTTCCCGGCAGGATCAGCTAACAGCCGGGAACAGCAGCTGGCGCTGCGCCGAGCTCTCATCGATGAAAACGAGTGTCTCTCCTGCCTGAGGTTCAGCATGCGCTCCACCGACGCCACTTTCAAGCTGGCCCACTACCCGCATGGTCTCTACGCTCTTGCCGTTGCCACAATGAGCAGTCTGGCACGGAGCCGCACCCTGGCCCTCCAGGTGCAGTGCCACAGCTGGGTTTTACAGTATTTCCACATTCACGATTATTATAATAAAAGAAGCGCTAAATCCACCAGGGTCATGCAGCGCTGCAGGGCAGGAGGTGTTACTGGAGCAGAGAGAAGCAGGGGGTGGAGAGGATAACAAAGGTCAAGTTAGAATGGGCTGTGAGGAATGCTTAAGGAAGTATTATCAAAGTTTGTGCAATAAATTGGTTCCTGTCAAAAAGTCAAAGAGGGAGTCTTGTCTATATTCATGAGAAATGCTAAACCCTTATGGCTTTTAGGGAATCAGAGGTTATTAGTTCTGATCAGTATTATTATTTTTTAAAAAACCCTTCTCATACAATAAACCCAAAATTTTTAAGCAACATGGACTAAAGTAATTTCTGGAGCCCCTCCGGGATTAGGGGCCCTGAAGGTTAAGCTTCGTTAATTTCATAGTAGATCTGCCCCAGCTGATCAGAGGAGGTGAAATTATTCAATTTATTATTATTATTACTACTAGTACAGGTGCTCCTCAACTTACAAGGGGGGTTACGTTCCAACAAATCCATCGTAAGTTGAAAATATAAATCCTAAGTAATTGCTTTTTATTATGAGGGTGCAAAACCCATAGGATTATACAGTGCCTGTGAGTTGGAGATAGAAAGCATTCACGGTCAATTCAGGAAACTGGAGCACAGATCCAATTCCCTAAATCAAGAGCCCCTCACCAGTATCAAGAAACCTCGCTTTTGCACCATTGTAAAGTCGAAATATCAAGTCAAGGAGCACCTGTGTCACTTAGCACACTGGCCATCTTTCCACAGTTAAGGTAGATCCAAATATAGAGGAAATACTTTCACCATCATTTAGTTGATTGCTGTCTTGCCTGGAGTGTACATACTTTCATATGACCTGAATGTCCTATGGGGGTCGTACAGCACATGGATCCAATGAAGAGGAGAGGTATCCCTAGTTCCTTGAATCAAGAGCCCTTCAACATGGCACACCTCTGAAGGGATAACTTTGTGGAGAACACAGGTGTTCTAGAGAACACAGGTGTTCTCTAGAGCAGAGGTGTTCTCTAGAACACTGGTGTTCTCTAGAACACTGGTGTTCTAGAGAACACTGGTGTTCTAGAGAACACGGGTGTTCCAGAGAACACGGGTGTTCCAGAGAACACGGGTGTTCCAGAGAACACGGGTGTTCCAGAGAACACCAGCTCCAGATGGCCTCATAATGGCCCCAGAGCACAAAATTAGTGATGGTTGCAGTTCTTCAAGGCCTAAGAGAAGCAGTGAAGTGCTTCCCATCAGTGAAAAAACACCAATTTTTCTACTTATTGTGCATAATTTATCAATTAAACTTTACCATAGGTGTGTAGGTAAACAAAAAAAATGACATTTATAGGGTTCGCTACTATCTGCGGTTTCGGGCATCTGCAATAGGTGTGTAGGTAAACAAAAAAAATGACATTTATAGGGTTCGCTACTATCTGCGGTTTCGGGCATCTGCAATAGGTGTGTAGGTAAACAAAAAAATGACATTTATAGGGTTCGCTACTATCTGCGGTTTCGGGCATCTGCAATAGGTGTGTAGGTAAACAAAAAAAATGACATTTATAGGGTTCGCTACTATCTGCGGTTTCGGGCATCTGCAATAGGTGTGTAGGTAAACAAAAAAAATGACATTTATAGGGTTCGCTACTATCTGCGGTTTCGGGCATCTGCAATAGGTGTGTAGGTAAACAAAAAAAATGACATTTATAGGGTTCGCTACTATCTGCGGTTTCGGGCATCTGCAATAGGTGTGTAGGTAAACAAAAAAATGACATTTATAGGGTTCGCTACTATCTGCGGTTTCGGGCATCTGCAATAGGTGTGTAGGTAAACAAAAAAAATGACATTTATAGGGTTCGCTACTATCTGCGGTTTCGGGCATCTGCAATAGGTGTGTAGGTAAACAAAAAAAAATGACATTTATAGGGTTCGCTACTATCTGCGGTTTCGGGCATCTGCAATAGGTGTGTAGGTAAACAAAAAAAATGACATTTATAGGGTTCGCTACTATCTGCGGTTTCGGGCATCTGCAATAGGTCTTGGAACATAGCCACCACGGATACCAGGGGGACTACTGTAAATTATGCCATAATCAGTCTTGTGCATTTTTTAAGTGAATGTGATGTGTGAGGGTAATTCTTGAAACACCTGTCACAACACATGAGTAAAGAATTCCTGCAACATCTCTCACAACACATGAGAAAAGATAATTCTTGAAACACCTGTCACAACACATGAGTAAAGAATTCCTGCAACATCTCTCACAACACATGAGAAAAGATAATTCTTGAAACACCTGTCACAACACATGAGTAAAGAATTCCTGCAACATCTCTCACAACACATGAGAAAAGATAATTCTTGAAACACCTGTCACAACACATGAGTAAAGAATTCCTGCAACATCTCTCACAACACATGAGAAAAGATAATTCTTGAAACACCTGTCACAACACATGAGTAAAGAATTCCTGCAACATCTCTCACAACACATGAGAAAAGATAATTCTTGAAACACCTGTCACAAACACATGAGTAAAGAATTCCTGCAACATCTCTCACAACACATGAGAAAAGATAATTCTTGAAACACCTGTCACAACACATGAGTAAAGAATTCCTGCAACATCTCTCACAACACATGAGAAAAGATAATTCTTGAAACACCTGTCACACATGATTAAGGATAGTTCCTGCAGCACCTGTTACATCACAAATGTCTTTTTTCAGTTGCTGACACGGGCTTGTGTGACATCAACAGTGGGCCACCGTCAGGTAGTGGATGCCCTTGCAACTCTCCGTCTCCGCTTTGCCGAACCTGTCAAGTGCAAGTTCCTGGTCTCCATGATGCTCTCCCACCCCCACCCCAGGTACTGTTGCAGCCATGATGAGTAAGACTCGTCTGCAGTGCTTGCTACTTTACTTGTCATTCTGATTCATCAAACTGTTGGGCATCATATTATTACAGCAGGGTCCTGCTTTACAGTTCTTCGCTTTACAACATTTTGCTAATGCAGTGGTTTTCAGTTATACCCATTCTTCATTCATTCAGACTTCCTACAATAAACACATTCACCCCAGACACCTAAAGTCAGTACCTGACCAGCCGGGCTGTGGTTCATATGTTGGCTTGGGTGTGGCCAGTGGTAACGGTCTGGTTGATCAGGCCCTGATCCACCATCCTAATCATTGAGGACTGGAAAAGCCAATCATGTCTTGAAGTGTGCATATGTGTCTTTACCTACAATATTTTTGTATGTAGAAAGGTTAAACCCATAAGGGACACACAGCAGTTGTGAAATGAAAGGCAGTTAGGTTTGAGCCAGACTAAGGGGCTTTTACAAACATCAAGGCACCCTTGAAGGCTTCCCACTGTACTACACCTTCCTTGTAAGTTTGAGGTGATCAGTCCCTCAAGTAAAAGGTCACAAGTGCAACTAATGTGACATTTTATTGTGGCAACGTTTTGCTCTCCTGGAGTTTTGTCACGCTGTTGGTAATGGCTCCTGGAGAGTGAACCAATGCCACAATAAAATGTTGCATTAGTTGCAGTTGTGTCCTTTTACCTAGCATATTGTCATTAATTTTACCAGTATTACAGTCCCTCAGTTTTGGGGTGTTTAGCTTCATGGTAGGTATGTAGCTCAGTATTCCCCTTCCCCGCTGAACTTACCTTCACTCTAAGCTTTCTTCTGCCTTGCAGCTTCCAATTGTGGGGGCTGAGGTTCGTGAATGCTCTGGTGGCCTCGACGGGCAGTGTGAGGGAGAGGATCTACTTGCAGGAGGAGCTGGCTGAGGCTGGTTTCGATCCTGCTGCCCTCAGGAAGGTAATTATTATTTTTTCCAACAAACCGGCCATATCCCACCGAGGCAGGGTGACCTGAAAAGAAAAATGAAAGTTTCTCTTTTTAAATTTAGTAATGTATACAGGAAAAGGGGTTACTAGCCCCTTGCTCCCGGCATTTTAGTTGCCTCTTACGACACGCATGGCTTACAGAGGAAGAATTCTATTTCACTTCCCCATAGTGGCTAATATTATTATTACAATCAAAACCAAGCACTAAACCCACAAAGGTCATACAGTGCTAATAATAGATTTTTTATTGTGTGACTTCGTCTTCCATACCTCGGAACCTGATCCCACTGAATGGGACGAAGGGGAAACATTCTTCGAGGCTGGTGAAAAGCTCTTGATCCAACGAATTTGAGTTACTCTCCCTCTCCCTGGATGAAACCTGGCTATCTCAGGCACTCTACAACACCCATGAAGATTTATTGTTAAGGGAAGTTACCCCTCATGGCCCTTGCTAAATACCCAGGCTGTCAGGGCTATACGACACATAGAAAATAGGAGGTAGTCATGGTTGATCCGAGGAAAGGGAAGGTAGCCCCAGTTACTCGAATCAAGAGCCCTTCAATAGCATCAAGGTACCCCTCTGCAAGGATGGATCCTGGAGCAAATATTTTGCAGTAGAGATACTTGTGAAGAATGTCAGTTCTGCTGGAAGTTATTTACCAGGAAAGAATGTCAGTTAACTTCAGTTCTACTTTAGTTATTCACTGGGTAAGAATGTCAGTAAATTTGGTTTTGCTTTAGTTATTCACTGGGTAAGAATGTCGGTAAATTTGGTTTTTCTTTAGTTATTCACTGGGTAAGAATGTCGGTAAATTTGGTTTTTCTTTAGTTATTCACTGGGTAAGAATGTCGGTAAATTTGGTTTTGCTTTAGTTATTCACTAGGTAAGAATGTCAGTAAACTTTAGTTCTGCTGAAAGTTATTCACTGGGTAAGAATGTCAGAAATTCAGTTTTGCAGGAAAGATTCAAAAGTTTTGCCTATATTCTACAGAAGAAACCTATAAGGGCAACAAAGACACCTCAGTGTCACACGGGCGTCTCATTCATCAACTATAGTAAGTAAGTAAGTAAATTTATTCAGGTATACACAAATACAGTTACATAGAATTATCATACATAGCAGCATATGTGTAGAGAACCTAGGATAACCCAAAAAAGTCAGACAGAGTGACTTATTTCCATTGGGGTCCTTCGGTATTGTGTATTTTTGGTAATGTGAAACCTCTCACTCTATGCCTCTCCATCAGATCATTGAACGCAGTGGCTCGGAGCACCTCCAGCAGCAGGCCGTAGAGGAGTTGAGTCGCTGGAATGCTGCCTACCTTGACGTGAGCGGCCTGGAGAATGAGGTGCAGGGCCTACGCACCTCCAACAGCACCTTACAGGAGGAACTTAAAAAGCTCAGGGATGCCAACATGGTGAGTGAGCAGTGGTCGTGGTGGAAGCTCTACTCAATGAGTAGCCGAGCACGGGGTTGTTATGGAAAGAAGAAAACCTACTTGGTGAGTGGCCAGAGTTTAGTTATATAAGAAACATATCAGTAGTTATTGGACACTGTTTTCAAGTAATTTGAAGGAGGGAAACATGCGGAGTTGCAAGAAGAAACGGATACATGTGAGTAAGGAGAGAGTTGGTAAAATTTCATAGTGCGAGTGGCCACACAAATTAATGTACAAAATAGTCCCCCATATCTGTGGGTCATATGTCCCAAAATTTGCCATGGATACCTGAAACTGCGGGTAATAGCAAACCCTATATATGTTGTTTAATTGATAAATTATGCACAAGAAGTCAAGAATTAGCACTTTTTCACAGATGAGAAGCATCTCTTTGGCTTTGAAGAACTGCAACCATCACTACGTTTGTGCTTTGGGTCATTAAGCAAAATTCAGGGTTATTTACGGGCCACGGTAAACCATGGATAACTGAAACTGCAGAAACCGAATCCACGGATATGGGGGTCCTATCGTATCTTAGATACTGTAAATATTAAACTTGCCATACATTGACACACACAGCTTGCCATGTACTAGATACAGTGGACCCCCGCATAACGATCACCTCCGAATGCGACCAATTATGTAAGTGTATTTATGTAAGTGCGTTTGTACGTGTATGTTTGGGGGTCTGAAATGGACTAATCTACTTCACAATATTCCTTATGGGAACAAATTCGGTCAGTACTGGCACCTGAACATACTTCTGGACTGAAAAAATATCGTTAACCGGGGGTCCACTGTATATGCACAGTGAATAAGCTGGTGTATACGAATGGTATACAATACCGACAAGATGAGAGTAAGACACATATGCAACATCTGGGTATCTTTATTGTAGACGTTTCGCCATCCAGTGGCTTTATCAATACAAATTCTAGGACATAACTTGAAGACAGTAGAACTATGTACAGAAGATGAGGTAATCAGTCCACTGGATGGCGAAACGTCTACAATAAAGATACCCAGATGTTGCATATGTGTCTTACTCTCAAGCTGGTGTATACAAGTTGCCACATGCAAGTTCATGTACCAGTAAGCTTTCCTACAGAATGCAAGTTGATGCACACTACAAAAGTTGATGTACACATGTTACACACACAACACAAGTTGCTGTACATAAGTTGCCATACAGCACACTACCTTGGCCAGTGGAAACAAAACGCAACCAGGTTTAAAGAAAAGGCTAATTTTAATTTGTTGTATCAGCACTGCAGAGACCGACAGCATTGTATTAAGTATTCACACAGAAAACATTAAATCCCATTCATTCAGTACCAACTGAACAGTTAAATAGAATCATAGTGCTGAGTGACTCGAAGTTAGTACTCCCTCGAAAGTGTTTCTTTTTGTAAATAGTAATTTCTTCATTTTTTTTTTTTCAATATACCGGTTGTCTCTCACTGAAGCAGAATGATTTGAAAAAGAAGACCTCTTCTTTTTACATTTAGTAATTTATACAGGAGAAGGGGTTACTAGCCCCTCGCTTCTGGCATTTTAGTCGCTTCTTATAACAAGCTTGGCTTATGGAGGAAGGATTGTTCTCCACTTCTTCATGATATGGTTCTGTATTATTATGTAATCTTACTGATGAAGTGCCACAGTATGTTTATTCTCCTCTCTACACACTGTCTTGCCTCATTTGTGGTTGCTACACCACTCTTGCATTGCTACACCACTATTGCAGTTGCTACACCACTATTGCATTGCTACACCACTGTTGCAGTTGCTACACCACTATTGCAGTTGCTACACCACTCTTGCATTGCTACACCACTCTTGCAGTTGCTACACCAACTTACCACTTACACAGGTAACCTCAACTAATCCTGGCCACTGTAATCTGCTTTCCTATGTGCACCTTTCTTACCATGTACAAGTGTTTCTTCTGGTGCAACTCTACTGTAATGCTGTACTCATTCTCTCTCTCTCCTAATGTATCCCTTATGAAATTTATCTTCTTGTCTAGTTTTAAGTAGTTACTGTGTACTAGGATTAGTCTGCCAGAAATGCCCCAGCATTTGTACATAGCAAACCAAAATTGTAATTATACATTGTAACCTTTATAAAGAAATAAATCTTCATCTTTATTTATATTTATTATAATCATAAGCACTAAACCCACAAGGGTTGCTTATATTTGATGTTTAACCCACTGCCATTTCTTTAACAGTTTTTTGTGTGGTACTCTGTCAAAAGTTTTACTAAAATCCAGATCAGTAATGTTTAATCTTCTGGCATATAATCTAATGTTCTCAGATCATTATCTAAATGTATAATGTTTCCAGACCATTCTCTAAACTTATAATGTTCCCAGATCATTATCTAAACCTATAATGTTCCCAGATCATTATCTAAATATATAGTGTTCCCAGAGAAAACGAGAGAGGAGAAAAAGAGAGAGGTTAAGAGAGTGGTGAAGCAATGTAAAAAGAGAGCAAATGAGAGTTTTGGAGTGAGATTAACAAGTTAAGGAAGCCTAGAGAAGAAATGGATTTGTCAGTTAAAAATAGGAGAGGAGAGTAATTAAATGGAGAGTTAGAGGTATTGGGAAGATGGAGGGAATATTTTGAGGAATTGTTAAATGTTGATGAAGATAGGGAAGCTGTGATTTCGTGTATAGGGCAAGGAGGAATAACATCTTGTAGGAGTGAGGAAGAGCCAGTTGTGAGTGTGGGGGAAGTTCGTGAGGCAGTAGGTAAAATGAAAGGGGGTAAGGCAGCCGGGATTGATGGGATAAAGATAGAAATGTTAAAAGTAGGTGGGGATATAGTTTTGGAGTGGTTGGTGCAATTATTTAATAAATGTATGGAAGAGGGTAAGGTACCTAGGGATTGGCAGAGAGCATGCATAGTTCCTTTGTATAAAGGCAAAGGGGACAAAAGAGTGCAAAAATTATAGGGGGATAAGTCTGTTGAGTATACCTGGTAAAGTGTATGGTAGAGTTATTATTGGAAGAATTAAGAGTAAGACGGAGAATAGGATAGCTGATGAACAAGGAGGCTTTAGGAAAGGTAGGGGGTGTGTGGACCAGGTGTTTACAGTGAAACATATAAGTGAACAGTATTTTGATAAGGCTAAAGAGGTCTTTGTGGCATTTATGGATTTGGAAAAGGCATATGACAAGGTGGATAGGGGGGCAATGTGGCAGATGTTGCAGGTGTATGGTGTAGGAGGTAGGTTACTGAAAGCAATGAAGAGTTTTTACGAGGATAGTGAGGCTCAAGTTAGAGTATGTAGGAAAGAGGGAAATTATTTCCCAGTAAAAGTAGGCCTTAGACAAGGATGTGTGATGTCACCGTGGTTGTTTAATATATTTATAGATGGGGTTGTAAGAGAAGTAAATGCGAGGGTCTTGGCAAGAGGCGTGGAGTTAAAAGATAAAGAATCACACACAAAGTGGGAGTTGTCACAGTTGCTCTTTGCTGATGATACTGTGCTCTTGGGAGATTCTGAAGAGAAGTTGCAGAGATTGGTGGATGAATTTGGTAGGGTGTGCATAAGAAGAAAATTAAAAGTGAATACAGGAAAGAGTAAGGTTATGAGGATAACAAAAAGATTAGGTGATGAAAGATTGGATATCAGATTGGAGGGAGAGAGTATGGAGGAGGTGAATGTATTCAGATATTTGGGAGTGGACGTGTCAGTGGATGGGTCTATGAAAGATGAGGTGAAAAGGGTGAGTGGTGCACTTAGGAGTCTGTGGAGACAAAGAACTTTGTCCTTGGAGGCAAAGAGGGGAATATATGAGAGTATAGTTTTACCAACGCTCTTATATGGGTGTGAAGCATGGGTGATGAATGTTGCAGTGAGGAGAAGGCTGGAGGCAGTGGAGATGTCATGTCTGAGGGCAACGTGTGGTGTGAATATAATGCAGAGAATTCGTAGTTTGGAAGTTAGGAGGAGGTGCGGGATTACCAAAACTGTTGTCCAGAGGGCTGAGGAAGGGTTGTTGAGGTGGTTCGGACATGTAGAGAGAATTTAGCGAAACAGAGTGACTTCAAGAATGTATCAGTCTGTAGTGGAAGGAAGGCGGGGTAGGGGTTGGCCTAGGAAAGGTTGGAGGGAGGGGGTAAAGGAGGTTTTGTGTGCGAGGGGCTTGGACTTCCAGCAGGCGTGCGTGAGCGTGTTTGATAGGAGTGAATGGAGACGAATGGTTTTTAATACTTGACGTGCTGTTGGAGTGTGAGCAAAGTAACATTTATGAAGGGGTTCAGGGAAACCGGCAGGCCGGACTTGAGTCCTGGAGATGGGAAGTACAGTGCCTGCACTCTGAAGGAGGGGTGTTAATGTTGCAGTTTAAAAACTGTAGTGTAAAGCACCCTTCTGGCAAGACAGTGATGGAGTGAATGATGGTGAAAGTTTTTCTTTTTCGGGCCACCCTGCCTTGGTGGGAATCGGCCAGTGTGATAATAAAAATAAAAAAAAATAATGTTCCCAGATCATTATCTAAATATATAATGTTCCCAGATCATTCTCTAAACCTATAATGTTCCCTATCATTCTCTAAACCTATAATCATATGTTCCATTCATTCCTGCCGCTTCATTGTGTCTCATATAACCTGTAGTGGTGATGCCAGTCAGCGTTACGTGTAAATTGTATTAGTATTTGTACCCATGGGTTTAGTGCTCAGTTTTGGTTGTAGCAATAATATTAGTACATATTTGACTTTTTATGGTATTTCTTTTTTAAAATATTAGTAGTGTTATTTCTGGAGTTTAGAGTTATTAAGGCTGATGCAAGTCTTCCCAAAATTTTCAGGCATGTTAGTGGTTTTTCTCTGTGCTTAGTATCTTATAACATGTAAATCTCACATTGCATGCTTTGCAAGGAATGATTATTTGTACAGTCGAACCCCCGTATACGTGGGGGGACACGTTCCAAGTACCTGCCATGGATACTAAAACCACAGACAGTAGGAAACCCTGTAAGTCCTATACATATCTATTATAAAATTTAATTGATAAATTATGCACAGTAAGCGTATTATTATTATTATAATCAAAAAGAAGCGCTAAGCCACAAGGGCTATACAGCGTACAGTAAGCGTAGAATTATCACTTTTTTTTCTGATGGGAAGCACTTCGTGGCTTCTCTTATACTGTGAAGAACTGCCGGCTTCTCTACTTTTGTGCTTTGAGGCCATTACAGCCTCTCCTCACTTAATGACGGAGTTCCGTTCCTAAGACCATGTTGGTAAATAAATTCGTAGTGGGTTTGTGTCAGCCATCTTTGATATTGCTTTAATGTCACATTTGCACCATTTAAAACATTTTTAGTGTATTTTTAAATGTTTATACAGTAGCGTACTGTATATTATAAACAGAATACAGGAAATCAGCTCTAATATACATTATTTAGATATGCACACTGGTCAGAGAGCCCATCATAAGTCTGAGTCGTCGGCAAACGAGTAAGTCGCTAAGTGAGGATAGGCTGTTTTATGCAAAATTAAAAGGTATTTTTGGGCCACAGTAAACCATAGATAACTGAAACTGCAGATACCTAATCAGCGGAGAGGGAGTTCTACTGTATTTGTATTTTGATGTTCGGTGGATGTGTATATCAAATAATTGTTTTTTTTTATCACAGGCAACTTCAAGGATAATTTAGTTTTAATTAATAATTATTTCTGATTGATGATCTTTTTGCTTTTAAGTCTTGTAAATACTAATGGAGCAATATCACTTTCAAGACCCGGGATCTGTGAGAATATATGAACCTCCTCCACCAGAATCAGTGCTGAGAGAAAAATATAAACTATATTAAAATGGCTGAAGGGTGTAGGCAGATACTAGAAAGTTAAGTACAGTAGGAACAGAATACAGTAGAACCCCCTGTATCCACTGATTCAGTATCCGTGGTTTCAGTTACCCACGGTTTACTGTGGCCCAAAAATACCTCTTAATTTTGCATAATAATGGTCCCAAAGGGCAAAAGTAGACAAGGTGGCAGTTCTTCAATGCCCAAGTCATGAGGTGCTTCCCATCAGTGAGAAAGTGATAATTTTCCACTTAATGTGCATAATTTACGAATTAAACTTTTTAATAGGTATGTATAGGATCTATAGGTTTGCTACTACCCATGGCAGGCCCTTGGAATGTAATCTCCGCAGATACGGGGGTCTTACTGTATAATGATATAGGAACATTATCTCTTGGTCCACAGCAGGATTCAAACCTTCACACACTGCATCAAAGTACATAGTACCTTCTCCAGTCAGCTAGATCCCTGGTGTCCTGGGTTATGGGAATGACTGCTTAGCTTTGGCTAGGGGTCCATACTTATTTAAAATCTGGGATCTGGCCAAGTAGAGAAGGTACTACGTACTTTGACGTAAATTGTGTAGGTCTGAGTCCTGCTGAGGCCTGAGAGATAATGTTTGTAAATAATTCTGCCTGTTTGCAAATTGTTAAGCATATTGCTGTATTTATAGGGAGAATGAATTTGACTTCAACGATCGTGACGAACTACCCACACTTACAAAACGAAAGTTGAGACAATGTTTCAGCTTGTCTTGGACTATTGTCAAGTCACAACAGAGAAAAAAAGCCAATATTGACCAAGAGACAAATACACATAACAAAAGCAAACATTGTATTTCTTTGTGCAGTAAAACAAATGTAGGTTACATGTAGTGAAATATTGTTAAGCACAAAGAAAGCCACTAATATGCGGTGCATTTTGGTCAGACTAATCATAATGCTTACAGGCTGCTTAAGACTGCGTACTTTGATATGCAATGACTTGAGATGTTATTTGCCCTGTTTACTAAGTCTCCAGTGTTCCTCTCTTCTTTTGGTCTCATGCACTACTATTACTACCATTATTACTCCTATTAATAATTCCACTGCTTCACCACCATTACTACTACTATTGTAACTAGTATACTGCTGTCACTATTAATACTACCATTCTCATATTCCTTTCCCCCCCTTTTCCTAATTCTGTTTTTTCTCGCTCTGGTACAGCTTAATAGTTCAGGATGAACTGAAATATTGTCTTGGCTTTACATAATTGTGTATATTTTTTGTAAACTTGTTCCAGTCATATTTTGTGACTTGCATTCTTCATTAGCCTTTATCATCTTACTTTTAAAAAATCAGTATTTTTTTCGGCTTAAATTATGTTGCCTCTAAAGCACTATTATTTTTTTACCAGAAACTCCTCGAAGAAAACGTTCTCCTGAAGACTGTTGGTGGAGATGTGGAAGAGCGGTACGAAGCCCTTAGACGGCGTCTGGAACAGAATGGTCTTCCAGTTGCTCCTTCCCCTGTCCCTTCCATCAGCGACTCTGACCTCTCCTCCATCAACACTCTGAGGCACACCACGGTGAGTCGTAACTCCATCTCGCCCTCCAGGAATGGCGATGCAAGGAGTGCCATCACTGAGACAGATTCTGTTATATTTACTCAAGGAGGAGAGAGGTCTGTCACACCTGTGTGGAACAGTATTCCTCAGAACTCTGCTGAACCTGTCAGCAGAAAGACTTCTATTTCTTCCACCGACACTGTCGCCCCTTCGCGCCCCTTATCTGCCTCTAGTTCCAATCTTCTCCAGTGTGTCAGTAGGGCGAGACATCAATCTGCCTCATCATCTCCTGAACCAAGGTTGATCTCTCCATTAAGGAGCTCTGCAGCATCACCAGTTAGGAACGGGGAAGCAAGAGATGATGTTAAGAGGGAGGATGACACACCAGTCAGAACCTCACCAACACAAGAGCCTAAGAGAAAGCGAATCATCTCGGGGGAAAGATTTAACGAACATATGCCCACAACACTCATTGATATGTCATACTGTGGTGAGAAGCCTCTATCTCCTGATGCAGCACTGCAGTGTGACAGGAATAAGTCACCGTTTGCTGTCAAACAGATATCTCAAGACCTTAAAAAGCTAAATAGATCAAACAGTCGACAACGCCAGCAGGTTTCTGATGAGCCACCACTGATGAATGGCTCCTCGAACAAAGATTCTGAGAAGAGAGGAGCAGCTTGACTAGTCCAGTGCAGAGTGATGGTCGGCCAGGGAGCAACACCATCCACAGCCTCTCAGATGGCCTCGACCAGCTCAGCATCACCAACTGATGTAAAAAGGAAGGCTCCAAAGCCTCCTTCTGGCCCAACTAGTCCCTTGTCATCCTCAACCTCTTCTCTCTCATCTTCATCCTCCATCTCCTCCAATGTAGGAGGGGAGCGGAAGGATCCCGAGTACATGAATGTACCCCGGCGGGAGTCGCCCCAAAATAAGACTCGTAGTATATCACCTGCCAGTAAAGCCAGGAGTGGGAGCGATGAAGGTGATCTCGACTATGAACGTGACATGATAGTGTACGAGGCCATCACTCTTGCCAACGACAGGATTTTCATTGACAAGAACAATACCCAAGGCTCCCGTGACTCTGATAAGAGTCTGAGCTCAACGGAGACAAAGGGCAGCCTGGAGGCTGAAGACAACCAAGGAGGCTACCCAGATGGCCCTTGTGTTCAAAAGTCAGTGCATCACTACGAGAATCTGGTGATGATGTCTGATCACTTTGAGATGGCACCCGAGAAAGGAAACGAGAACGGTGAAAGGCAAGAGAAGGAAGAACAAATTGATAGGAATCAGGAACTTAAAACAGAAAAACTAGATGATGTAACTGAAAAAGAAGTAGAAGCTGTGATGTCAGGCCTTGAGAATGTGTTAAGAAGTGCCGAGTCTTCGCTGAGCTTGGTGTCACAAGAGACAGTCAAGGAAAATCCACTCCTAAAGGGAAACTTCGAAGATCGGGCAAGCCCGGAAAATATTACTAACGAAGAACTTGAAATTGTACCAAATAGAATTCCACAGCTGCCAGCAAGATCTCGGTCTCGCAATTCACAGACTGGAAGTGGCCAACGAGATCCAGTTTTATTTCTGGAGATTGAATCTCCAGCAGAAACTAGTGATACTGACACACTGCTTCATAGCAGCCAACCACCACCTAGTCCACACACCATAGAGACAGAATCCACCAAGTCTTTTGGCTTCGTGCGTCCAGAGAGAACGCTTCGGCGTCACGAGACCTTCATTGACCGTAGCAACAATGAGCGTGAATCTCGGGAGGAGCGCCGACGGGGTATCAAACGCAGTGAGAGTTTCCAGGCCAGCAATAGGACAGAGTACAACAGCCATCGATCATATTCCCCAAGACGGCGAGACGTTACAGATCTTCTGGTGCCTTTAGAGGAAAAAGAGGTTCACATAAGTGGTCGGATGTTCACAAAATACACCCCACATGAAGTTGAGCGTCGCAATCGTGTCAATGAACTTATCACTGCTGAGATGAATCGGCGCAAGAACCGCAGTGTGGAAGACCGCCTTGATCAGTGGTTCGAGAGTCAGGGTGCGGACGGTGAGTGGACACTCAAATGGAAATACCCGGATATCCATTATGAAGATGGGAAACCTTGCCGTAAGAAAAGCAGTCGTAGGCATGAGAGTCAGTCGCCAACTCGTTATGAGGACAACAGAAAATCTTCTAGATCGAAGGAAAACAGATCATCGTCAAAGCACCAGGATAAAGCTCCACTTTTGAAATACCCCGCTGACATCCCTGGTCTCCCACCTAAACCATCTCGTGTTGGAAAACAACTTAAATTCTCCAACTCTGAAATCTGTGCCTTCAGTGGGTTTAAGAACCCCAATGGCTTCCGGGAGAGTGATTATGGACCAAACTTCATGCTCAACAAGCCACCCGCCCGCCTGCCAGACCTAGCGACTATGGTGGACGAGACTACCCACCTCCTCCTCGTGGACGGAGCTTAAGGGAGAAAGTGATGGGAGGGCGCCGGAAAGGAGAAATAGATCCAGACATTCCGACGCCAGATTACTCAGCCACGCCAGCCAGCACTATGTCCACAGTGATCAATGGCTCGCCTTCGAAACACATCCTAGACATGCCGTCAGGACTTTACTGAGTTCCAGTCTGAAAAATTACCTCTTCTTCGTGGACAGATCATTCAGAGAATCTGCAAATTAGTGTACATAAAAAACAATAAGATTTTCACAGTTTTCAGTTCTAAAAATACTATGATTATTTCAAGTGAATTTCCACACTGGTAAGATAAATGTGAAAGTGAATATATCAGAAATATGCAGAATATCTGCGGTTAATTAAACTTACGCAGAGAGGTTGAGAAATGTGTAAGTGTACATACAATGAACATCCCACTCGGGTTACCTGCAATATATTTGGTCACATAAGCAAGTGAAAAAACTCATTTGTGTGCAATATTTGAGAAATTTATGTATATATGTTTGAAAAGAATATTAGTGAAAACAGAAAATAAAACCCAAGTGCTTTGATGTGCTTACATACGTTAGAACTCAGGTTCTATTTCCCGTTCTCAAAGTGGTATTTTCTCATGTCTGCAATCACGCATTGCATTGTGATTTCTTCCTGTATATATGTAAAAAGAAAAGTGTGCATTACCATTTTTCATTTAAACTGAGTTTATAATTGTGACATTGAAGAACAGACTAACCATACCACAGGCGGGGATAGAACCCGCGATCAGAGTGTCTCAAAACTCAAAACAGACTGTTGTGATGTACATTTCTTTTGTTCATAGATTTTTCCCGATATTGCCGACATTGGTTTTATAATCCCCCCCCCCCCCATGTTCATTTTTATCCAATTTCAATGCAGTTGGATATTTGATGGTTCATTGTAATTTTCTCCCCTCCCCCCCCCAAAAAAAAAAGATGAATATTTAAGACAGCTGCTCAAAAAGATTGTCTTGTTTAAGGAAGATAATATAAACATGCTACTGTATACTGAAAGCAAGACGAATTTTGAAGTGGTCTTTTTTTTTTAATTTATACAGGGGAAGGGGCTCAAAATTGCTCCTCAGTCCTCAAAATTTAAGAATGCAATCAGCAAAAAAAGTTTCTGGAGGAAATGCAATAAATTAATTTGTTAAACCTGTGATATGATCTAGGAAGACTCTGAGATGGAAATTATAAATCGCGGGGAGGCACCAAATTCATAGGGGTCATGCAGCTCCTGGGGAGGGGAGGAGTGTGCCAGTTCCTGGGATCAAAAACCCTTTGCCAACGTATGGAAATGTTGCATCATAGTCAGTGTGTTGAAATATATATACTTCCTTTCTTGTACAATATAATGGGGAATAAAATATTAATGTTAATTTGCCCAAACTGAAAATTATGATTATTCCTATTTGCGAGGGGATACTGTTCCTATTATAATTTTAACCTTATTAATGAGCAAGTGTAATTTTTGGGGACTTAAAATTGGTAAGAATATGTTTTCTGGTTTTTGTGTATACACTATAATATAGAATTATTATTATATTATTATAATCAAGGGGGAAGCGCTAAACCCGGAGGATTATACAGCGCCCTGGGGGGGGGGGATGTGGAAAGCATTCAGGCTTAATTCGGGGAACTGGAGCACAGATCCAATTCCCTAAATCAAGAGCCCCTCACCAACATCAAGGAACCTTCCTTGAGGGGTATAATATAGAAATTTAATGATTTAAAACAATTGAGAAAGTTAATGTTGAGTTTTTATTATAATAAAAAAAAGGGCTAAACCGACCAGGGTTGTGCAGTTATTATTATTGAAACTCACTAAAGTGAGGGTATTTAGAACTTGCTAGTCATGGGTACAAGCACTAACCTTTCCATAATTTATGATAGAGTGCTGCATTTGACACTGGAAGAGGGACACCTTGATTCTATAATAATCTATTTGTACAAGTACAAGGTATACAGACCATAGCTGACATCAGTGACATACTACTGTTTAGAAAGTCCCTTGTTATGCCGAGCATTTTGAGCAAATTGGGTTAATTCTGTCCCAGGATGCAACCCACACCAGTCAACTAACACTAGGTACCTATTTTACTGCTTTCATGATTTCTTACATCATCAGTGTCTTGATAATGTGAGAAATCATGCCAAGCTCTTGGAAATTCACTTTTTTTCACAGTGGTTATTTTGTATATTGTGATATTACCTGTTTACTGCAATCGTTTTCATTTTCTCTAATACGATAAGTTGCTATAAAGCTATTGCATTTAGTGTAATTTAGTGCATTTGAAAAAGTAAAGTACATCCAGAACTGAATAGTATGTGGAAAGGCCTTCACAGCATGTGATATTCTATTTCACATGAGCTTCAATTCCATTTACAAAATATCACACTATCTATATAGTGTGATATTTTGCAAATGGAATTGAAGAGAGCTCGCTTAAATATAATTTTTCATCCTTGCTAATGGGCCTTTGTATATCTCATACACTGCACAAACACATTGAGAATCTTTTGTATTGTGTATAGTATCATTATTATGTATAATACAGAAGATCCCCAATGCGTTTTTAAGTCGAGAACTTACTGTATTTGGTTTACATTTCTGAGGGAAAGGCAACTACGGCAGGACAGGTAGGTAGTGTGTTTACCTGGCTATTATATAGAGGACAACTGAGCCTCCATGCCTTGCATTGAACAACTCGACATGGGTTTAATGCTCCACAAAATAAATTATATCGCCTAGGATTTTTTTTCAAATGATGCAGGATAAAAATCTATTTGTACCAGCAAATATAAAAGTGAATATGAAATTAAAGGTAAATTACAACAAATGTAAACACACATCACTGCATTTTTCTATATTACACAATATATGCTATAACTCCTTATAATATAAACTGTACATGTTGTAATTCTTAAGATGTTCGGTAAATGGACACAGATACAACAATAATGTGACATTTTGTTGTAGCAGTGTTTCACTCTTCAGGAGCTTTGTCAAGCCAGCCTGACAAAGCTCCTGGAGAGTGAAATGTCGAGTTAAATGTCACATTAGTTGCACTTGTGCCCATTTATTCGAATTTTTTTGGTAATTTTACCATTATTACCAATTCTTAAGATGTGTCCTTCAAGGGAAAGTAATTTGAATCTGGTGAGGGACTTATGATACATGTAACTGCAGCTGTATTTCCCCTTTCTCTGATCAAACCCATGTTTAAGTGCATATGACCTATGATGCATTTAGTGCTTCCCCTTAAATACAATAATAACCCTTATAATGCACACTTACTGCTATACCTTATAAGCTTATAATTCCTTATGGTCCACACTAAAGAGGCTAATTCCATATAATGTCCACAAAAAACTGACAGCTGCTGCAACTTAGAAAAAATCTGTCATGGGCACATACAACAATTTAATAGAGGTAACAAAATGGTGAACAATAAGTACGTATACATAAAAATGATGAAATTAAGACATTTATTAAGATGTTCTGCTAACCAGTGGCTTCTTCAGTCCAATACAGAGAACATAAAACTCAATATATATAGTGCATTAGGTCAGTTGCTGGATGGGCTAGAAGGCAAGGCTAGGTAACTGCTACATTTTGCTTGGCAAAGATTATTGGGGAGAGCATTTCTTACAAGTGTGTGTTGAGAAATAGTGTTGGTAGAAGCATTGAGCTGATTCTGAACAGCACCTGTGTCATACATCACATTACTTGAAGATGTGGCATTTTGGTAGTCTGTGAAATGGCTATGGAAGTTATGGTGAATGCTGCAGGCATTATTCATGTCATCCCTTTGGCAACCATAATGTAATAATACCTATTTCTAAAAGTACATGTACATACAAGGTATACAGGAATAGCCGACATCATTGACATACTATTTTATATAAAGCCCTTTGCTATGTAGAGCATTTCCAGCAAATTATGTCAGTTTTGTCCCAGGATGTCACCCACACCAGTCAACTAACACCCAGGTAGTCATGTTACTGTTAGCTGAACAGGAACAGTAGGTGTCTCATGAAAACACTTCCTGTTTTCTAGCTGTACCGTGGGATCGATCCCCAAACCTCAGTGTGTGAGCTGAGTGCACTAGCAGTTGAGCCACAGGACGTGTTCCTCTTCACTAGTAGGTTCCTAATATTTCTATCCTTACCCATCTTACCAAAGCTCTGGTCATAAGAAGAGAAGAAGTAGGTTCCTAATGGTGTTGGAAGTCATGTCTATTAAAGTCTTACATTTACCAACAAGATTTGGGACTTTCAGAAACCTGTCCAACAAGAGAACAATATACCTGTCAGGAGTCTGCCTGTGTCTAGTAGTGTGGAAGATCATATCAGCCTGTCTTCTAAACTGATGAAATGTGTGCTAGGTAATGTAGCTTGGAGAAGGCCCTGTGTATATAACTACATTCTCCTTCAAGGAAGCCAAGGCCTGAGATTCTGTAAGCTCTCAAATAAAAGCCTCTGATTAATCCTCTTTCTTGGTAAGTGCATCGATAGGCAGTATAGTCGATCATCTTTGTGAGTTTGCTTAAGACTGAAATCCATATTTTTTGGCCATTCTGGCAGTTAAGCACCAAGAAAGGATAGGCATTTCTCCTTCATTGTTAATTTGAAGGAGGGTTCCACAAAGTTGACAATGTTGACAAAGAGCAGTGGTATACACACAGAGGAACAATTACCAGGATATTGTTGACATAACAGTCATGCTAACTCTCTGGGCATGTATGGCCTGCCTTTTCTCCTCCAGGAGCACCATATATGGGTTAAATACAACTGCATTATGTCCATGACCATTCCACATGACTAGCGGCTCAGTCACCGAAAGAAAAACAAAATCACCAGTGATCCGTCACTTTCTAACGAAGATGATCAACAATTTGTGTAGTGGGCACCCTGGTGAATAGCGAGGTAACATAACGAGTTTCTTTTTTTAACTGATATTCTTAATTTTGAAAAGAAGGTTGCCAGAACTTATTGTACCTAATTTAGACAGCTGTTTGGATAAAATTCCTGTCAGCTTATGTGGTGCACTATGGGTTTGAGAGGAACTCCTGGTTCGAGTCTCTTGGGTAAGCCATACTTGTGGGTGGTCTTAGGGTTGCAGGGGATTATAAATAAAAATGTTCAGAGCATTTCAGAATGTTCCTAGTTTGGGAAAGAAAAAGCGTAGCAAGTCTGGTTCCTGTTTAGAGAGGCAATTAAAACTTCCACATCACTACACAGACTTCTGATAGGTATATTGTTATCCCAGTTGAACAAGTTTGAGACTGTCTACAACCTTGTTATTAAAACGAAAGACCCAGATAATCATGATGAATTCCAACGCCATTAAGAATGTAATGTTGGTTTTCGAACCATCCCTCAAGAGCGTGTGGGGAAAGTATACATGGGTAAAAACCACAATGCAGCAGTAAACATATATGCTTGCAAAAGTTAAGAGTTCAACAGTACCTGCACCATTCACAGTGACTTAAAACAAGTTCATGGGCTTCCAAAATGCCAGACTCGTCGTTTATGAATCTGACATATGTCGCATATGCTCTCATTGCTAATACCATCTCTCAAAACACAAACAGTTTTATAATTTCAGAAAGACTTGCCCAACTGATCCTACCCAAGCAAATGATAGTCATCGTCCTGTTCAGTCGTACAGTCCAATTTTCTGAAGTAGACTGAAAAAAGCCACTCTTTAGTTAACTTAATATATGGCCTATCTCCTGCTTTTGTATCTTTTTTACAGACAATTGAACAGTTACAGCCTTGGTGGAGACCTTCCATAAGCTTTTACAGGAAAAAAAAAAATCACTGTAGAGATTTATAAAGCTCTACATGAAGCTAAATGTTGCCCCCATTCAAAGCTTGTTCTACCCTAAGTCTTCTCACTCTTGTTTCTAGTTCCTTATTTGGATCAAAGTACAGCCTTAATGTTCACCAAAGTCACTGTATAGCCCTTGTGGCTTAGCGCTTCTTTTTTATAATAATATTATTAGTTATTATTATTATTATTATTAATAATAAAGGAAGGAGGGGTATTAATGTTGCAGTTTAAAAACTGTAGTATAAAGCACCCTTCTGGCAAGACAGTGATGGAGTGAATGATGGTGAAAGTTTTTCTTTTTCGGGCCACCCTGCCTTGGTGGGAATCGGCCAGTGTGATAAAAAAAAAATTAATAATAATAATGTTCACCAATGGTTGCAAGTGGATACAGAAGGCAAAGAGAAACTACCCATCAGAACTCACTCCAACTGACTCCATGTGCATGTTCATCACTGGTACAGTGCATGCTGTGTTCTGCTGTGCTGCTGACACACACGATGGGTAAAAAAAAATGCTGTGTATGTCGGTAATAGGATACTGCAAGGATTGACCTCATGGCCATCATATACCACACAGGCTTTTATTTTGTGGATATGCATTCATATAGACACATTCATGTCTGTCAGTATAATACTACAAATACGTACTATCCTCTCATGGACATGTATTCACATCTTGGTAAGATACAACAAGATCTGTCCTTACAAAAGTATAGCATATCCACATGTTAGGATACTGCAGACTGTCCTCTCAGACGTATATTTGTGCTCAAGATTAGAATACAAGATCTATTTTATCGTCGGTGGGACACTGCAGACTGTCCTTGCATTAGCATATTTATGTCCGTTGGTGGCACACTAGGTCTGTCCTGTGCATGCCCATTGTGCACACTGCTGGGGTGAAATATTCTTAAACAATTACCAAAGCTTTGAGCGTCAGAAGGAATGGTAGTGTGGGGGCCAGTGTAAGAAGGTATATCTGGAGACAGATACTATCATATCAAATATACTGAAGCACCCTGTCAAGCCTTGCATGGTTGGCACATTGCGCTATTGAAAACTTGCCAGGTATTAGCTTTTTTTATTTTTTACCTCCCTCATTCCAGCGCTGTATGACCCTGTTGGGTTTAGCGCTTAGTTTTGACTATAATAATACCCCCTCATTTGATTTTTTACCCATTTTGACAAATTTCTGCATATCTAAACCATAACTCTGCATGTATAGGTATTAACTAAAAAATACTGATATCTAACAAAGAAAAGGGAATTAAAGGCTTCTTTGATTATCCCCTTCAAGGACTGTTAAGCCACAGAATTTGAGCTACCCTTCTCTATGGCCAGGGGTGGTGCAAGGGGGTGGACTGAAGCCCCCCTCAAAAAAATTCCATTAGCCCCCAAATAAAAAAATAACGCTGCTTCAATACAAGTCCTTTAGCAAAAGGACATAAGTGTGACTAATGTGAAACGTTGGCACAATACAATGTCGCATCAGTTGCATTTGTATCCTTTTATTAACACTGTAATTCTACCAACATTAATACAAGTCCTTTAGCCCACCCAACCCGATCACCATACCTAACCCCTCCAGTACAACTACAGAAGCCGCCCCTCTTTATGACTAATGACGACTCCTCTTGCAAAACGGAGGACACTATACCTGCAGCATTTCCTCTTCTCCCTCTATCGACTATACTATACACACCGTGATTGTCACTAACATTCTGCCTTCTCGATGGCTCTCAGGTTAGTATGCAAAACAAAGTACAGTACATCTACCTAGATAGTCAGCTAACCGAAATCGGCTGTGAGAAGTGTGAGGGCAGGGAGGAGGAGGATAAGCTTGACTGTGGGGAGGAGAGGCTTGCCTGCACGAGCTCCCTCCACCATGACATCCACCACCATCGCCGTGCCGTTGAAGCCTCCACCGCGGTGCTTGAAGGTGATCTTGTTGGGGTGAGCATCCTCAGCTCTGCTACCAAGGCTCCAGCTGCCAGAGGGAGCTGGGATTTTGTTGGTGAGGAGCTTGGTGGTGCGGAGGCTGTCCCCGAGGTGGGTGTTGGCTCCACCACTCGTCCTTCTGCTGCCACTACTGGTGGTGGTGCTGCTGGTAGAAGTTTTAGAGAAAGGTGGTGGTGTGGCGTGGCGCAACGGGGGAACTTCACCTGTGAAATAAAACTGTTTCAGGCATAATTTCCAACAATAGCGTAGTCAGAATTTCAATCCGAATAACTTACGATGCTGAAAAAAAAGCACTGCCAGTATTTATGTGAAATTAAACTACCATGCTTTTGTGGTCACTGACCAATATACAGTGGACCCCCGCATAACGATGGCATCACATAGCGATTTTTCCGCATACCGATTACTTTTATCGCAAAATTTTTGCCGCGCATACCGATTAAAAACCCGCTTACCGATTTTCGTCCGAGACGCGTCCAATGTGCCCTCACATGTGCCGGCCGTCCCATTGTTTACCAGCCAGCCTCCGCGGTAACATCCAAGCATACACTCGGAATATTTCGTATTATTACAGTGTTTTCGGTGCTGTTTCTGGAAAATAAGTGACCATGGGCCCCAAGAAAGCTTCTAGTGCCAACCCTGTGGTAAAAAGGGTGAGAATTAGTATGGAAATTAAGAAAGATTTTGAAGGGTTTGGGGCTAAACCCTGAGAAGCCTATGCCAGTTGTGGAATCCATTGTGCCTACTTCAAAGATTAAGGAAATGTGTGCACAGTGGGTTGAACTGCAAACCTTTATAGATGAAAATCACCCTGACACAGCTGTTGCAAGCCGTGCTGGTGACTATTTCAATGACAATGTTATGGCCCATTTTAGGAAAGTCTTGAAGGAACGGGAGGTACAGAGCTCTTATGGACAGATTTGTTGTGCGACAGAGGTCCAGTGACTCTCAAGCTGGTCCTAGTGGCATTAAAAGAAGAAGGGAAGTAACCCCAGAAAAGGACTTGCTACCTCAAGTCCTAATTGGAAGGGATTCCCCTTCTAAACAGTAAGAAGATAATGCTCTCCCCTCCTCCCATCCCATCAATCATCACCAGATCTTCAATAAAAGTAAGTGTCATTTAATTGTGCATGCCTTTTTCAGTTTGTGTGTATTAAAATTAACATTTCATGTGGTAAAAAAATTTTTTTTTCATACTTTTGGGCGTCTTGCACGGATTAATTTTATTTCCATTATTTCTTATGGGGAAAATTCATTCGCATAACGATTATTTCGCATAACGATGAGCCCTCTTGCACGGATTAAAATCGTTAACCGGGGGTCCACTGTACAGTAAAAATTAGCCATTAATTAGAATAATTTACATCTGGGAGAGGGGCACAGTCCCTACCCCTTCTCTAGTAGCACTAGTTTCCCAAGCTTCTACGACTCTTCGACATTTTAACTTAGGACTCGCCATGGATATACTCAAATGACTGTTTATTAACCTTATCTACTCCCTCAACCTCTTTCCAAACAGTAGATAAATGGTTCTGAGACCCAAAGAGTTGATAAATTAGACAAGTGCAAAACTTTATCTTTATTGAGGAAACGTTTTGCCACACAGTGGCTTCATCAGTCTGATATAAAGAATGGTGAAGATCAGGGGTAGTTGGAGGGAATCAGTCCCTCACCCTGAAGTCGATGTTATCAGTCCATTAAACAAGATTGAAGGATTGATTACCTCAAACTGCTGATCCTCACCATTCTTCTCCATACTGGACTGATGAAGGCACTGGATGACAAAACATCTCCACAATAATGATACCCAAGTGTTGCACATGTCTAATTTCTCTCTTTCCAAACAAATGCAACATATGTTATAAACGGTATACAACACTTACAAGTGGCTGAGGAAGAGAGACAGGTAGCACTAGCTATACACAAGTCACTTGCACCCAATATCTTGGAGATTAAAATTTATTGAGGTTTGATTCAAAGAGTGAAGCTCCAATTCCTTGAATCAAGAACCCTTCACCAGCATCAAGACATCCTCCTTGAAGGGGTGAAAGATTAGAAAATTATTTGAGAAACATACGAGGATTTTCACCTAGCAGTAAGTAGGTACCTGGGTGTTAGTTGACTAGTGTGGGTGGCAGGCTTATGAAATGAGCTAAGGTAGGACAGCAGCTCTTTGCCTGTAAAATTGATGTGTATAAAAAGGAGGTAGGGTCCAGGAGTTGGGACTCAGCCACAGCAAATGACTCTACACACAGTATACTCACCTGGGTGAGGTATATGCCAGGTTGGTCGAGTGGGGACAGGAATCACACGATCCTTGATCTCTGAAATGTAGTGAGCCTAATCAAAAAACTTTCTTGCAATAATATACCATTCAAAAATGTACAGGAAGTCCTCGCTTAACGCCATTTCATTCAACACGGTTTCATTATAACGCTGATGAGAAAAATAAATTCCTGGCTAGGAATGGAATATATGGAAAGACTTAAATATCTGATGAGGGACGTACATAGGCATAACTCCCAACTATACAAATGGAAGTTTTAGTTTATTTGAAGATCTAAAGAAAAAATAGGTTCTTGTGCTGAAAGTGAAACCTTGGTGTCAAGTCGTGGTTGGTTTGAATGTTTTAAGAAACGTTTAAAGCTACATAACATACATATAAATAACAGGAGAGACTACAAGTGTCGAAGAGGAAGTCACAGCTGCTTACCTAGCTTCACTATTATGTCAATTTTCTCCCTCATGTCTGTCAGCATTCAGTTTTTACGATACGTAGCGGGTTTCTTACATAATTCTGAAAAATATTTGATACCTAAAATAATACAAATATCAACACAGAGTAAATACACGGCTCTATATCGCCCCAGAGTGACCTCTCAACACTACCTTGTCCTACGAATTTAACTCTTTTTATATTAATAGCCTATGGTAAAATTGGCTTTGTTATACGCGGTTTACAAGAACCTATCGATGTTAAGTGAGGACTTCCCGTATTAAGGTACATTTTTCTGAACACACTTAACTTTGATTGTATTTAACACGGGTTGAGTAACACAAAGGTCATACAATGCTGACTTTGGTGAAGATTTAATTCAATAAGCTTCACCAAATAAGGTCAGCACAATATGACCCTCTTGGGTTTAGCACTTATGACTATAATAATAAATCACAATTTACGGTATATTTAAAATATATAATTATTATATATCCTTGTAATATTGTTTAAAACTGAGTGAAGTAAATGTGTTAACGATTGTTTATATGTTAAATGACCTTACAGAGTGCTAGAGAACCCTCCAGAGTGCTTGAGAACCCTCCAGAGTGCTTGAGAACCCTCCAGAGTGCTTGAGAACCCTCCAGAGTGCTTGAGAACCCTCCAGAGTGCTTGAGAACCCTCCAGAGTGCTTGAGAACCCTCCAGAGTGCTTGACAACCCTACACAGCACTTGAGAACCCTCCAGAGTGCTTGAGAACCCTCCAGAGTGCTTGAGAACCCTCCAGAGTGCTTGACAACCCTCCAGAGTGCTTGAGAACCCTCCAGAGTGCTTGAGAACCCTCCAGAGTGCTTGACAACCCTCCAGAGTGCTTGAGAACCCTCCAGAGTGCTTGAGAACCCTCCAGAGTGCTTGACAACCCTCACAGCACTTGAGAACCCTCCAGAGTGCTTGAGAACCCTCCAGAATGCTTGAGAACCCTCCAGAGTGCTTGACAACCCTACACAGCACTTGAGAACCCTCCAGAATGCTTGAGAACCCTCCAGAGTGCTTGACAACCCTACACAGCACTTGAGAACCCTCCAGAGTGCTTGACAACCCTCCAGAGTGCTTGACAACCCTCCAGAGTGCTTGAGAACCCTCCAGAGTGCTTGACAACCCTACACAGCACTTGAGAACCCTCCAGAGTGCTTGAGAACCCTCCAGAATGCTTGAGAACCCTCCAGAGTGCTTGACAACCCTACACAACTTGAGAACCTCCAGAGTGCTTGAAACCCTACCAGACTGAGAACCTCCAGAGTGCTTGAGAACCCTCCAGAGTGCTTGAGAACCCTCCAGAGTGCTTGAGAACCCTACACAGCACTTGAGAACCCTCCAGAGTGCTTGAGAACCCTCCAGAGTGCTTGAGAACCCTCCAGAGTGCTTGAGAACCCTCCAGAGTGCTTGAGAACCCTCCAGAGTGCTTGAGAACCCTCCAGAGTGCTTGACAACCCTCCAGAGTGCTAGAGAACCCTCCAGAGTGCTAGAGAACCCTCCAGAGTGCTTGAGAACCCTCCAGAGTGCTTGAGAACCCTCCAGAGTGCTTGAGAACCCTCCAGAGTGCTTGGAAAACCCCCCAGAGTGCTTGAGAACCCTCCAGAGTGCTAGAGAACCCTCCAGAGTGCTTGAGAACCCTCCAGAGTGCTTGAGAACCCTCCAGAGTGTTTGAGAACCCTCCAGAGTGCTTGAGAACCCTCCAGAGTGCTTGAGAACCCTCCAGAGTGCTTGAGAACCCTCCAGAGTGCTTGAGAACCCTCCAGAGTGCTAGAGAACCCTCCAGAGTGCTTGAGAACCCTCCAGAGTGCTAGAGAACCCTCCAGAGTGCTTGAGAACCCTCCAGAGTGCTTGAGAACCCTCCAGAGTGCTAGAGAACCCTCCAGAGTGCTTGAGAACCCTCCAGAGTGCTTGAGAACCCTCCAGAGTGCTAGAGAACCCTCCAGAGTGCTTGAGAACCCTCCAGAGTGCTTGAGAACCCTACACAGCACTTGAGAACCCTCCAGAGTGCTTGAGAACCCTCCAGAGTGCTTGAGAACCCTCCAGAGTGCTAGAGAACCCTCCAGAGTGCTTGAGAACCCTCCAGAGTGCTTGAGAACCTACACAGCACTTGAGAACCCTCCAGAGTGCTTGAGAACCCTCCAGAGTGCTTGAGAACCCTCCAGAGTGCTTGAGAACCCTCCAGAGTGCTTGAGAACCCTCCAGAGTGCTTGAGAACCCTCCAGAGTGAGAACCCTCCAGAGTGCTTGAGAACCCTACACAGCACTTGAGAACCCTCCAGAGTGCTTGAGAACCCTACACAGCACTTGAGAACCCTCCAGAGTGCTTGAGAACCCTCCAGAGTGCTTGAGAACCCTCCAGAGTGCTTGAGAACCCTCCAGAGTGCTTGAGAACCCTCCAGAGTGCTTGAGAACCCTACACAGCACTTGAGAACCCTCCAGAGTGCTTGAGAACCCTCCAGAGTGCTTGAGAACCCTCCAGAGTGCTTGAGAACCCTACACAGCACTTGAGAACCCTCCAGAGTGCTTGAGAACCTCCAGAGTGCTTGAGAACCCTCCAGAGTGCTTGAGAACCCTACACAGCACTTGAGAACCCTCCAGAGTGCTTGAGAACCCTCCAGAGTGCTTGAGAACCCTCCAGAGTGCTTGAGAACCCTACACAGCACTTGAGAACCCTCCAGAGTGCTTGAGAACCCTCCAGACTTGAGAACCCTCAGAGTGCTTGAGAACCCTACACAGCACTTGAGAACCCTCCAGAGTGCTTGAGAACCCTCCAGAGTGCTTGAGAACCCTCCAGAGTGCTTGAGAACCCTCCAGAGGCTTGAGAACCCTCCAGAGTACTTGAGAACCCTCCACAGCACTTGAGAACCCTCCAGAGTGCTTGAGAACCCTCCAGAGTGCTTGAGAACCCTCCAAGTGCTTGAGAACCCTCCAGAGTGCTTGAGAACCTCCCCAGAGTGCTTGAGAACCCTCCAGAGTGCTGAGATAGAGAACCCTACACAGCACTTGAGAACCCTCCAGAGTGCTTGAGAACCCTCCAGAGTGCTTGAGAACCCTCCAGAGTGCTTGAGAACCCTACACAGCACTTGAGAACCCTCCAGAGTGCTTGAGAACCCTCCAGAGTGCTTGAGAACCCTCCAGAGTGCTAGAGAACCCTACACAGCCTTGAGAACCCTCGAGTGCTTGAGAACCCTCCAGAATGCTTGAGAACCCTCCAGAGTGCTTGACAACCCTACACAGCACTTGAGAACCCTCCAGAGTGCTTGAGAACCCTCCAGAGTGCTTGAGAACCCTACACAGCACTTGAGAACCCTCCAGAGTGCTTGAGAACCCTGCACAGCACTTGAGAACCCTCCAGAGTGCTTGAGAACCCTCCAGAGTGCTTGAGAACCCTACACAGCACTTGAGAACCCTCCAGAGTGCTTGAGAACCCTCCAGAGAACCCTCCAGAGTGCTTGAGAACCCTACACAGCACTTGAGAACCCTCCAGAGTGCTTGAGAACCCTACACAGCACTTGAGAACCCTCCAGAGTGCTTGAGAACCCTCCACAGTGCTTGAGAACCCTACACAGCACTTGAGAACCCTCCAGAGTGCTTGAGAACCCTCCAGAGTGCTTGAGAACCCTCCAGAGTGCTTGAGAACCCTCCACAGCACTTGAGAACCCTCCAGAGTGCTTGACAACCCTACACAGCACTTGAGAACCCTCCAGAGTGCTTGACAACCCTACACAGCACTTGAGAACCCTCCAGAGTGCTTGACAACCCTACACAGACTTGAGAACCTTCACAGTGCTTGAGAACCCTCCACAGAGCTTGAGAACCCTCCACAGTGCTTGAGAACCCTCCACAGCACTTGAGAACCGTCCACAGTGCTTGAGAACCCACCATAGTGCTTGAGAACCCTCAAAAGCGCTTGAGAACCCAACACAGCGCTTGAGAACCCACCACAGTGCTTGAGAACCCTCAAAAGCGCTTGAGAACCCAACACAGCGCTTGAGAACCCACCACAGTGCTTGAGAACCCAACACAGCGCTTGAGAACCCAACACAGCGCTTGAGAACCCAACACAGCGCTTGAGAACCCTCAAAAGCGCTTGAGAACCCAACACAGCGCTTGAGAACCCACCACAGTGCTTGAGAACCCTCCACAGAGCTTGGGAACCCTCCACAGTGCTTGAGAGCCATATATAGCGCTTGAGAACCCTCCACAGCGCTTGCGAACCCTTCACAGCGCTTGAGAACAATCCACAGCCTTTGAGAAACCTCCATAGTGCTTGAGGACTCTCCACAGTGCTTGAGAGCCCTACACTTCGCTTGAGAACCCTACACAGTGGTTGAGAGCCCTACACAGCGCTTGAGAACCCTCCACAGTGCTTCAGAACCCTCTACAGCGCTTGAGAACCCTCCACAGTGCTTGAGAACCCTCCACAGCGCTTGAGAACCCTCCACAGTGCTTGAGAACCCTCCACAGTGCTTGAGAACCCTCCACAGCGCTTGAGAACCCTCCACAGCGCATGAGAACCCTCCACAGTGGGTGAGGTCCATCCTTAGCGCTTGAGAACCCACCATAGTGCTTG